CAACTAATGGTTTAATCCATTATCGTCCTCCTCTCTAGTACCTAGACATGTTACTGAGAGAGTTATATACATATTAGACAACATTTCAACACATAATATGTTGTCTAGCTGAGTGTTTATATATAAGTAAAGGTTAAAATATCATCTACAGTAGCGTGTATATTGACTACCTGATCTATTGTCGTTATTTGCCTTTGTTTGTATATATTTTGAACTGGGTAATGCATATTTGCTGTTATAAAATTTGCTATGCCTTTTTATTTGCATAAGACCATTCCAGCTTCAAAAAATAGCAATGCTAAAGTTAGGCAATTAGGGTTCATTCTGATGATAAACTATCCTTGTCAATAAACTAAGATGAATAAAGTTTTTTTTTTTTTTAAATAAAGAACATTTGTTCAACTTTAAATTAATCTAATGAAGTTGCATATTTCACAAATCTTCGTAATGATATTAAATAATATAGAGAAGATACTTAACATCAAAAATACATAGAGGGATATGTCTTCATTAGATTATATGTAACCACAACGTTAAGCAATAGTTGAAGGAAATATTTTTCCAAAGAACAACAATAGAGACGATTTTTTAATAATATTCACGAACATGATAATACATATGTCAACGGCAATTTAAAAACGTTATGTTAGTATTTACGTACATTTTGTATATTATTTATAAACTATAATATACAGGCTATCACGATTTTCAGTAACTGTATATTGCTGCCGTCATAATTTTACTTGGATATTGACTGACAGCCTGTATTACTCAGCTGATATAGTGTTCCGTCTCTGACGTCAAGAACACAAGTTCCGGTGTTTGTAATCAGCTGAGTAACATCTGTTTCCGTCTGTCAAAACAAGACTGCCAACATAAATTGTCTTACTTTGACAGAAAATATTGTACAAATTATTAACTTATCAAACATGTATATAGTATTACCTCTGCTTATAATCTCTACATATTTTTAACAATATTTTTATAGAGATTAAGAAAATAATTTGCAGAGATACATTTATTAGTGAAAATAGGTATAAATATATAGTTTCTTACGTTGTTTTATTATGTTCTATCTATCTAAATAATCTAAGGGCAGTTCAATATACTGTTACTTATGTTTTAATAATACTTTGTCAATTTTAAATATAATTAGTGGAACGCTTTTTTATGATAAATTATTATTCATTGTTGTAAAAGCGTGCAAAAAATAGTATTGCAAAACGTTGTTATATTGTACATGTTGTAAAACAGGAGGGGTTATGAACCTGTGAGTCTTTTTTCTGTTTTCCACAGCTACGCATGATAAGGAAGTTGCCAAACAGATCCTGGATTTCCTATCTGCAAACAAAGGGGCTTGATCGTGTTTGTGCATATAAAACAATGCATTGAACCGAACACGTGTGGAAAAGAGTTGTACTTGTGTGGTCCAGGGACATTTCCGTCAACTCTTAAAATGTAGGTTTATAAAATAGCTTACCAATACAAGGTTTGAATTAATTTTATTTTTAAGTGTACGTTCATGATTTCCTCATGCTTGTCATAAATGCAAGAACATTTTTGTAGGTTAATATTCATATGCAGTGTTAGTCTGAATAATATTTAAAGTATAATCTTGTGAACGCATATTGTTTACAACAGTATGAATGACCCTAATGTGTTAAATTTACTCAGTCATATCTGTTAGGTAAAAGAAAAACTACCTTCAAATAGTTTTTGTTTGCAAATATGCTATCTAGTTTATTGGACGGTGTTGTTTGTAAATTTAGGTGTATTTAATTAATGTTTTATGGTACATAATAATGTTTAGTTTGCCATATTTTTTACTTAATTACTTAGGCTTTCACATCTACAGGTCATATACAACTTTAGGCACGTATTTGAAAACTCAATTTCTGCACGATCTTTTTGGGTAGAGTTTTGGGAAATCAAATATCACGTATTCAATGTAAAACAAAATAATTTAAGTCACTTACACGTGTAGAATGTACTCTTATAATATTCTACAGAATTATTTAAAATGTATCCTAGTTTATTGTAATTCATTTCCAGACAAATTGTAATATAGGACTCAACAGGCTATGTAAAAAAAGCGATGCAAGATAAAACGTTTAGAGTTCATTCCGTCCATCATAGTCCACAAATAATCCTTAAGTTCACAACCTGCATGACGAGATTTTTTTTCTTTAAAATATTTCCAGATGTATATTTGTTGATAATAATGCAAGTCTTTGTGCTATATTACTATATCCGTTTCAAAATACGATTGCTTTGTTTAGGATTTAGACTATGTTAGGTTATTCATTAAAAAACTACAGTTTCTGAAAAATGAACTTGTATTTTTTAAACTGTTAAACACATTCTGTATCGTCAGAAAATGGCAACTTAGCACTGTTGTAGTCCAGTTTTCACTTCCCTGACATTTGATGTTCAATATAACTTATATTGATACAGATTTTGAGGGATTACAAAATTATAATATTTTTTAAAATTATTTTAAGTATTTACACCTTATTCTTCTATGACTGTCATTTAATAACCCAAATCGAAGCACATAGTGTTCATTAAATTGGTGACAACAAATATATGAAATGAAAGATAATTAATAACAGTCAACCAAGCATTTATACTTTCCTTCTGCTCTGATGTAACTCTAACAAGAAAAATTAATATTAGTAAATTGTGTTGGCAGTCCTGTTTTGACAGGCGGAAACAGATGTTACTCAGCTGATTACAAACACCAAAGCTGGTGTGTTCTTGACGTCAGAGAATGGAACACTTCATGTCAGTTGAGCAATTTCGGGGTCTAAAACATATAATTTTTACTTTTCTATCAAGGTGTAAGAATGTGAATTTTTTATGTCAGCTAGGTAAATTTTAAACCATATAGTTTAATACTACCCCGCACTTATTAGAAACGCTAGTGTTTGCAGTCATCGTTTGCCATCTATATGAAATTTCTATTATCTCTTAAAACGATCAAACGAAAATGGAATCTTCTACTGTAAACGTGTCAAAGCAAAAATAACAGCCTAAGCTCGAAGGAAATAAATAAGAAGAATACAAAGTCTCTGCCGTTCAAGCGATAGCTATACCTAACCTTATTACCAAAGTATATGAAAAAAAATTAAAAACTGTTTAAAACTCCAACGTTTTAAGTCGCAGTAAGAATAAGACATCAGGAAAATCTCTTGAACACCAAAGTAAAAGTATGCTTTAAAAGTTCTCAATATCTTGAGAAAGACACTATTAAGCCATTTGAAATCAATCCCTGAACAAGATCTGTTAAGAAAACATTCTCAGAAGAACTTTGACCGTATTGGTTTGTGGATTATCTTCCAAGCGTAGTCTTCAGTGAAATCATATTTTCTTGGTTCTTATATTTGAGAAAATACGAAAGTCAATGGCCAATTGACTGATGTACTTAAGCCAAGGGTTTTATCGGGTATGAGTGAATAACTTCATTGCTCGGTTCAGGATATTTGTTTATGTATATCTAGCTCTTTTATCGAATTCATGGTAAGCAATGTGTAAATAACTTGTATTCTATGGGTATTGCAAGGAGGTCGAATCCACTGGGAAAATAAACAACAAATGTTTGGATACATTCACCTCTGGTGAGACACATTCAATATTCACAATATTCAACATTCATCCAACAAGTCTATTATTTTGTAAACCGTGTAAAAGTGGAAATATGTGTATTTTCTTGGTTTTACAGCATAACCAAGTTCAATAACTTTGAGGTTAGCTTTTAACAGTAGTTATTTGTGACACTGAAAATAAATATAGCTTTTTATATCCGGCTTTAGTTAAACTACCTATCAAGTACTTAACATCGTCATTAAAAGGTAATTAATCGTTTGGTTAAATCAAACTCTCTGTTAAAAACAAAGCATATCATTTACGATTTATATGAATTCTTAACGGGGCAATAGCTGTTAAAACCGGATATCAATCAATGCCCTTTAATTTAATCCATTTATTCTCGTAAAAAAACGAATGAATGAGAAATTTGCTTAAAAGTTAAATATTAAGAAAGCTATGGCAATAAAATGAATCTTAATAATTTTAATTAAAATGTTCTCATAATTATGAGTAACGAAATAGTTGAAAACATAATTTGAATGGTTTAAATTGCTTTGAAATAATTAATTTTTCTGGATAAGTAAATAGTAATGGATTTATAATGAATACTTTTTTATATGATACGCAATTTTGAATGAAACAAATCGAGCTTAAGTTATGGAATATACATTTTTTCGTACACTGATTTGCTTAACATTGTAATAAATTTATATTTTTACCATTTTGAACAGAAATATTCTACACTATTACACCTTTACTGCAACAACGCTTTAAGTCTTCATTTATACCAAATAATATGTCCGTTATCTTATATCGTGATTGGAAAATGGAAATGTAATAAAAAATATTTCTTTACTTGTACCTCTGGTCAAAATGTTTTATTCCTATGCAGAACGAAAATTTGGTTTGTTGATTGAACAACAGAGGGGCAAACTATTAACGGGGGAATTAGCTCTCCTCCCCCTACGACGCCAATATCCGGTAATCATCCAGAACGTTAGCTTGGTTCCGGTTCCTGTGACGGAAACAGTCCTGCCAACAATCAGAAATTTAAGTAATGGTTTTTACATTATATGTAACAAAATACCTTGGTCGTCTGCAGTTTCAAACTGTTGATCTATTCTTAAATATGTGTCGGATAGTAAGCCATTACTAAACACATTTTCAGCTACATTACTGTCCACTATTAGGCCTATAGCTTCATTGTTTTTATTTTTCTCGATATTATGAGTATTTTCCTTTAATTCAGATGCTGTTTTTTTTTTCAACAGTAATAATTAATTGATTGTCTCTAACCAACAAACCCTTGCTTGATTTACTCAAAGTTTACCGTTTTAAGACAAAGTAGTAGTAAATAATAATAAAAAAAAAATGTCATTCCAATAAATAATGATTTTAAAGTCAAATATTCAGATCAATTTTAAAATGTACTTAAATTCAACAAGAAAATAACCGTTTTCATTTAAATTTCAGTTTGTACAGGATTTGCAAGTATCATGTAGGGTAGGTGTCTTCTGATTGGTCAGAATGTTCTAGAAGATTCAAGTTGTAAGCCAATCAGGAGATACCTACTGACCACCTATTTAAAGGCACTTCTTGCTCAAACCGTCCTTGTTTGCTTCTGACCATAATGCAGTCTAGTTGTTTTGTGTGTAACAGTGATTTGTTAATTTTAAAGTGAAGTTTTTAGTGTTTGTTCCCCCTTTTAAGGGTAAGTTTTAGAACAGTAATAATTAGATAGATTTTTGCAAATCCTATAACACTAGTATAATTGAAACAGTATTTTTTCTGATTTTATTAAAACTAAAACTTTGAACTTTTTTTACAGGTTGAACTAAATGATTAATTTTTATAGTTAACTAATGTTTTATTTTTATTTTAGGGGTTCACGATTTGGAATTAAAACTTAAATACTACTAAATTTATAATGTACCATAAAATTGAAGAATGAGATGTAAAGATGAAGTGATTTTTAATTTTTTAATAAATAGCATGATTTTGAAGGAAGAAGTTTTTTAAGTAACCTGAGTTTACAATAGTAATACAATCAATATGGTACAAAAGTAGTAACAAAGGAAAAACAATTTTATTTTGAAATACTGATGAATAATATAATTTGATTATTCTCTCTTTGGTTTCAATTAAAATATTGTGAATTTTTCTTTGAGCGCACAAAAGCTATAATGTCATGTACTATCAGAAAGGTTAGATTTATTATTATTTATTATTATTTATAATTTGAAATAGTAACTTTCCTTCGTTTTTCAAACATTTGGAACAATAATTTTCACATTATTTTTGTTGTTATTGGTAATTTTAATGTAATCTCATTAACTTGAAGTTCTATGAAACTGAATTGCTCAACCGTTTCAGCTGAATAGTTTTTTTTTCTTTTGAATACAGTAGAAGGCATTATTTACCTAATATAAAGTAAAACCCACTTTTTACCGTAGGTGGCACGGTAAGACCTAGGCCCAGGACCGATTTACTTTTTAATTTTGATGTCCCCAGAGGCCAAAAACACCATTCGTTATAATGTATATATATATATATATATATATATATATATATATATGTATATATATATAGATAGATTATATATGTATATGTCCGTGAACGCGATAACTTGAGTAATTTTTGTCCGATTTTGATGAAATTTGGTTTAAAGGTGTAAGGCGGGATAAACTTGAATGAGTTCGCGAACCAATATGATCGGACCATGGGAACGGGGTGTTACGGGGGGTTGTAGGGGGTAAAAATCGGTTTTTCTAATTTTTAACCCTCAAAACACAAAATTTCCTAATTTCTCTCTAGACCCTTTTAAAGAGCTTAAAAAAATAGTTTAGTATATCAAAGTGTTTTTGTACAATTATCGGTAACGGAGAAAATTCAAAAAACTATAAATTTAAAATCCCCATGTTATTCTAATGGAGAATATTGTAAAATGTTTTAGTTTGCTTGTTTATGGATATATTTTGATCAAACTTGGCTAATTAATTTATTTTATACTAAGCTATTAATATTTTACTAAAAAATACACTTTATTAGTTTCCTTGTATCAGCAAACCTAGGTACACGTTGAACTTAATGTTATTTAAATGGGTTTAATCAAAAATCAATTCAAATGGCAAATGGAAATTCGCTTAGTCGGCAGGTGTGCTGCGGCGGGGGTATTTGGGTGTAGGTCAAAACGGATGTATCCACCCAACTCGCAAACTCAAAAATGTTGACGTAAACAACACTTTCTTCATTTAATGTATGGGTGAAGAAATTAAATCAGCTAAAATAAACAGACACGCCACTCTAATGCAAACATCTTGCTCCTGATTCTCCATGGAACGCCTAATGGATTGAGTCATCAATTCAACATCCGGCCTGGAAGCTTACAACTGTCACTTTGGGTTTAATCTAATTGATTACCTAATCAATAACCAACATCCGCAGTAATTAGGACAACCTCTTTAAGTAAATAATGTAAAAGATAAAATTACTGTTCAAAAAGGTTTTCTAATTCAACATAAATAATTTTAAATGAACAAGGATTCGAATGTGTCGTTATCAACTGAGACTGTTATTTTATTGCGTGATATATCTAAAGGAACATATACCAATTTAATTGGTTACCTTTGTAAATCATTGAAGTAAATAAGTATTTACTTCAAAGATTTACAAAGGTACATCAAGTTCCACTCGAAATAACCCAGTGAGGTAAAACAGTCTAATGGGAGGTTTTCTGGTAAAATTATACATCCTAAAAAAAATGTTTGTATAAAAATAAGAAAGGTCCAAACCTAACTGTACTATAAAAAATTTTAAGTTTGGTCAATAGGCTAGTAAGTTGGTTATAAATATCGAACTCCACCTATTAGTTCACTCCAACTATTAGTATATAGTTTTATTATTACACCCCCCCCCCCCCAGCAAAAAATGTGACTTAATGATTGTTCACGAATACTGGCAATTACATATGAATAAAGCTATTCATTCTTCTTTTGATTATTTACCTTGTTCATTACAGATATGTAATATTGGGCAATTATACATGTAACTAGAACAACATGTAAATATAAATTCTATCTGAATCAGGTAACTTTAGATTGACGAATTACAAAATTATAATAAATACTTATGACTGGATGACATATTATAAGTATTAAACGACGATCAATAGGCAGCCATTTTATCTTTATAACATGTCAATACAGAAAATATCAACCAACATCCAATATTGTTAGTACAATATTATGGTATTGTTTAGATCACTCCTTATACACGAGTTTGTTTTAAGCTTAAAAAAGATGAACATTAAAAGAGATAAAGTCATATTTTACAAAAATCTACTTCTTACACCTTATTGTTGCGGATGAACACCCTTTATTATTAATTTGTTTAAACCATTCATATAACGTTATTTTCGGGGTTTATAATATTATACCTCTATAATACTTGAAGTAGACTTATATATGCCATTTTAACAAATATTTTTTGCTATTTTCCTTAGTTAATATTTCTTTTTACATGATGTAGTCATTTTTCTATTTTATTGTTATTTATTTACTCGTATAAGTTAAATTAAAATAATGTTTATAATACATTAGGCGTTTTAAACAAAACTGGAAGTTGTATTTTTCAGTATTCATCATACACCTATTGACATTTTATAGGAAAAAATATATTTAGTATAATTCAAACCACTGTACTATAAAAGAAATTCCCTGAAAAATGGAAAACTGTAAAACTGCTGGAACGCACATCCTTTTTTACTACAAAGCTGAAATCATTGTGTGCAGTATCAAAGAATACGTTTGTTTTGTTTTGCAAATGAAACATACAACACAGATATGTGTGAGCTCAGTACAACAAACTTTGCACCATTATACTGCAAGTCTTTGTATTACTGTTTTATAAACAGTAAACAATGTCTTTTATAAATTCAGTCGTCATACGTACTTACGAAATAGTAATCAGTAATATAACAGAAGATATTAATTCAGTGTGCATTTTAACTTTTACATTAAGTAGTTGTGTTGATAAAAACGTGAATTGTAAGTAGCAACAGTAAAAATGTGGTATATAGGTAATAAGTTATATTTAACCATTATTATGATATGATTGTGAATGGATCACCACATAATCTACTTTATATCAGAACAGGGTTCAGTCAAAAATATTTCAGGTAACTTATAAGCACTAACATTAAACGTATTTTTATCAAATAAAAGAAATAAAACTGGTTGCTGCTATTTGGGTTTTAAACAGTTTAGTTGTAGGTGAATCTTAATTTCGTGTTAAGAATGTTTTATAAACACAACGAATTAATTTGCACCACATATAAACTAGGTGGTGACGAGATTACAAATTGGTCACCCTCTACCCTACAAACATAGATACATTCTAGAGTCAATAATTAATTATCTAGAAAATATATCGAGTGTTCAAACCACGTCGAAGCAACAAGACCTTTCAAAAAATATAACTTTGTTAAATTTTTTGACAAATAAAAGAGGATGAATGAAAAACGCTCAAAATTTGTATTTATTATAGCACTGTAAAAAGACAATTAATTAAATCCAGGTCTATTAATGTATAGCCTTCATATTCTTCTCAATAATTACATTCTTAAAGCTATTATTTATATCGGTTTTATGAAAAACAGTCTATCATAAATTTTCCAATACACAATATCTTCATCACGATAATACTTACCAATCGTAAAATGTTACCTGGCATAAACCCTCCTTGTTCAGTGTTGTGTGAAAACTGCCCAACCGAAAATAGTTTTTACTGGAGTATACACATTTACAGTTGACTGACATTTGAGATAATTTTATCTCGGAGTGAACGAGTCCTCAATCCTAGATGAAAAGAATTCATTGTATTGCATATCATCCAATCGATATCGTATAAAAATTCCCCTTCTGTGGCATTTTGAATTTATTGTTCGCATGAATGCTTAAGAAGAATCACATATTGCATGTAATTCGTCATCGTTAGTGCTGATCAGCCAACTACGCTGTATAACATTATTTTATTATATTCCAAAGGACATTCCATTTTGTTTGTTACATGATAACATTATTTAAAAAATAGTTGATGGAAGCACTTAAGAGTTAGAGGAAAAGTCTCAGTAACTGGTTAAAATAATTATATTGATAATTAATTAAAATGTTTTTGTATATATATATTAACAATGCGATTGTTAATGGGCACGTAAGAATCGTTTGTATTTAAAAGAATTATACTTCAATAACCCTCCAAAAAATGTAAGATAAATTAAAAATAATAACTCAAGATGTTTAATGTTTTGTAGAATTGTGAGTATTGCAACTTCTATATTAGTCGTCAGAATCTATGGCATTTTGTTATGGTTGCTAAATGGAAATAAAATTGTAAATACGTATTGAACACAGTCAGTTTCCTGCCCTTAAAATTCAACCTTTTATCTAAGGATTACAGTATATCTGAACAATATATTGATATCAATAGTTTCCAATAGAGAGATACGAATATATTCCGGTGAAGGCTAACAAGAAGGAAGTTGCAACACCAGTAATTTGTAATACAAGAGCTGACAAAGGAGACTGGGAAAGAGAAATACTGGATCTCATACTGTTCAACTTACCTACAGTAAGGTTTCGTAGCTCAGATTACTATAGTAGTAAATTTGTTATAAATAATAAATATAGGCATATAAATTACCTTAATAACATTTTACATATTACTAAAGTTAATGTAAAAAGTTCTTGTATTATTCATTCACACCAGTTTTGAAATACACTAGGTAATACATAAGTACATAAGTAATAATCACGATACACTAGATATGTAACATATGATCTGTCAGCACGATGCAAACAACACGTAGCTCTCATAACACGTCACAGAGTGAACGTGACGTCAGTGAGGTTTGTATAAGTAATACACTAACTATGTAACATATGATCTGTCAGCACGATGCAGGCAACACGTAGCTCTCATAACACGTCATAGAGTGTACGTGACC